CACCTCAGCCTCCTGAAGTGCTGGGATTATGGGTGTGAGCCACCAGGCCTGGCCACCATCTTTTCTTTATAAATTCCCCAGCCTCCAGTATTGGTTTCTAGCAATGCAGCAAATTAAGACAGATACCAGCCCCACCATCCATCTCCAGGACTGTCCTAGGCAGGAGCTGCGGTCACCCCCACCGGCCTCTGTCACTGGCACCTGCGTGGTGGATCCTGGATCGATGTCACACTCTCCCTTTAGACTCCCCTCTTGGAAGGAAAGGCACCAAGGGCCTGCCCCCCATCTGCGGGGGGCTCAGGATTCTCCAGACCACTGGCCTCTAGGTCACCTGCCCTGGGGCTGACCTCCGGCCACCTGGGGCCCTGCGGTGCCCCCAGTCTCCTCCTCTGTGGTCAGATGGTTTTCATTTATCTGGCCTGAGTCAGGGGCTGGTGGGTGGGGGCAGTGGCTGGCACTAGGTTCACCTGTTAAAGTGCAGGGATAGTGGCAGCTCCCCACAAGGAGGGGGACAAAGAGGGGCACACGACAAAGCTGTGGGCGTGTCTGCCACAGGCCAGTGTCCCTAGATACCTTGTTTGGGGTGGGGTGGGGCTGAGGGAGGCAGCCTGGCAGGTCAGAAGGTCTGAGGTCCTGGCCCTGGGCCCCCCTACGTCTGGGTTTCCTAGCCCTCCTAGTGGGCTTCTGGCCCCTCCCACCAGCCTGTCCTTCCCCTGCCCCTAGCTCCAGCCAGATCCCCAGAGGTGAGCGACCCTGAGGACCGGCAAGGCCATCCCAGCCCTCCTTCATCTCCCTCCTCTCACCTGGCCCAGCCTGGAGCAGGAGTGTGGTGTGAATGTAGCCGTGAACCCAGTCAGCTCCACGGGGTTGAAGCCTCAGAGATGCTGCTCCAGGGCCCAGGCAGTCCCGGTCGCCCCACGTGGCCTCCAGTGCACAGCCCTCAGCACAGAAGGGCCGAGGCTGAAGGTGTGGCCTGCAGCAGGGGGTGGAGGCTGGGAAGGGCTTGGGGGACGCAGGGGATGGGTTGAGGCCTGTTCAGAGCTAGCCTGCGGCCTCTGCTCCCAAAGCCAGCCCTCGGGCCCTGCTCTGCAGTGGGTTCAGCTGCCCTGTGATTGCCTTCTGTGCCCCAGCCCAGGTGGGAGGGTCCTGGCTCACTCGCTGGCCGCAGGCTGCCCTTCCTCTTCCCCAGGTGAGGAGGTGCCCACTGTGAGCTGTGCAGCCAGGAGCCAGGGTGAGCTGGGCCTCCACCTGCTGCCCAGGGGGACCCTGCTACGTCTCTCTTAGCCTAACTTAGCTGCCACTAGCCTCCCACCTGCCCTGCACCTGCCCGTCCCTGGGCTCACTGAGGCCACCTTGTGGCTGCTCACGGCGTCGGCCCCACAAGTCAGGGCCTGATTTCCACACCGACTGCATTTGTCCGCCATGGACTTTTATCCTCTGTGCCACCTCCCTGGGTGGTACCCGCCACATGCTGCGCTGAGCTACTTCTAAACCCCACGGGGGGCCAGGTGCAGTGTCTCATGCCAGCACTTTGGGAGGCCAAGGCGGGCGGATCACCTGAGGAGTTCAAAAACCACCCTGGCCAACATGATGAAACCCGGTCTTTACGGACTATACAAAACATTAGCCAGGCGTGGTGGCTCGTGCCTGTGATCCCAACTAGCCGGCAGGCTGAGCCAGGAGAATCACTTGAACCTGGGGGGTGGAGGTTGCAGTGAGCCGAGATCGTGCTGCTGCACTCTAGCCTGGGCAACAGAGTGAGACCCTGTCTCAAAATAAAAAAAATTTAAAAAAAGAAAGAAAAGAAAGAAAGAAAGAAACGTAAACCCCATGGGGGGGAGGTGTTTTCATTTATAGGCTCTTCCTGTTTCACGTGAGGAGCATTGCAGGGCACGTCTGTTCCCACACGAAGCGCTCCAGGCCGCTGGAGGCAAGAAGAGAGATCCTGAGAGGCCACCTGGGAAGGAGAACCAAAAGTCAGTGACAGCGGTGTGGAGGCTGACAGCAGTGATGACGATGGCTCACACTCCTGTGTGCTAGGCACCGTTCTGGGCACAACCAGTGAAGAGAGAGGCCGTCGGCGTGAGAGGAGCTCTGGGGACACGGGGATGTCTCACAATGGGGTTCCTCCTCCACTGCCCCACAAAGACTTTGGCAGACCCCACAACCTCGTGTGCTTTCGGGGTGAGTTTGCATGGGAGTGGCATGTGGAGCCTGCAGGCCTCAGAGCAGGGGCAATGCCTGTCCCCTTGGGGTCACTTCCCCCTCACAGGAATGCTGGGGCCGGCCTGGGATCCCCCATCACATGGAGGGAATGACCAGGGCTCCCTTAGCCGGAGCACAGTGCCCAGGTTGTGGCCACAGCGTGACCCGGGCCCTCTGGGGGAGCTGCTCCACCCGCCTTCCCGGGCCCTCCCACCCCCACTTGCTTTCCAAGGCCTGCCCAAAGCCCCAGTCCCTGTAAGGTCCCAAAGATTTTCCAAGGTCCCTTAGGCCTCGGGAGGTCCCCCAAGGCTTCCCAGGCCCCCAAGTCTCGAAAGATCTTCCAGAGACCCCTCAAGGCCTTCCCAGGCTCCTCAACGATCTCCAAGGCCCCCCTCTCAGGCCCTTTAGGCCCTCCTAAAGCCCCACAAGGTCTCCTAGGCCCCCTAAATTCCCAAGACTCCCCAAGACTCCAAGACCCCCAGACCCCTAGGCCTCCCTGCATCCTCAACCCTCCGGGGACCCCATCAGCAGCTGCCTCTTCTGGGATGTCCAGGCTGAAGTCCCTGGGGCTAAATCCACCTGTTCAGCTCCTTGCTTCCTGCCACCAGCTATTGGTCCTGGGCTGACCTATGGCGTGGTGTCTTGGGGTCATGTGACCACCAGGCATGGTCACATGGTGTCAAACATGGCTGCCTACAGCACCACCATAAGAGAGGTGGAAGTGAGTTCTTGTGCAGCACTCCACAGCCGGCCTGTAGTCAGGGAGGCCTCCCCAGAGGCATACACGAAGCTGCCTGCCAACCTGGGTACCCCAGGCATGGGCCCCTCCAAGCCTGCCCTAGGAGAACAGTTTATGCAACACAGAGGGTGGAGGCTGGGTCTGAATCTTTTTTCTTTTTTTTTTTTTGAGACAGAGTCTTGCTGTGTTGCCCAGGCTGGAGTGTGGTGGCACAATCTCGCCTCACTGCAACCTCTGTCTCCTGGTTCAAGCGATTCTCCTGCCTCAGCCTCCCTAGTAGCTGAGAATACAGGTGTGCACCATCATACCCAGTTCATTTTTGTATTTTTAATAGAGACAGGGTTTCTCCATGTTGGCCAGGATGGTCTGAACTCCTGACCTCAGGTGATCCGTCCCCCTCGGCCTCCCAAAGTGCTGGGATTACAGGTGTGAGCCACTGTGCCCTGCTGGGTCTGAATCTTTAACAGCTCCCCACTGCTCCTGGAGCCCCTGCCACAGCCAGCCCTTGCTCACCAGCTGAAGAACCAGCAGCCTCTACCTCATGCCTATGTGCTCCTCCTGGGGGTTGGGGTCTCTCTCAGCAATATCAGTGCCAGGACACATCCCTTGTCCCCTCTGCCCCTTTCCCTCATCTGCAGGCCTAGGCCCAGTCATCCAGCCAGCCTCCACTCAGCTTCTCTCCCTGCATGCAAAGACTGACTCCATCAAGCTGCACTCCCTGAAAGACACCCACAAACCACAAACTCAGCCTCCCCTTTGCCCGCAGGAGGCCCATGGGCAAAACTGTCACCAAGAGAAGGGAGGAGGGGCCCCAAAGTGGCTGTGTGTGTGTGGAGAAAGAGCCTGCCTGGGGCTGGACCCTGATGGTGTGGCCTCAGGTGTGAGTCCTTCTCCTTCCTGGGCCCCAGTGGGTGATGATGTGTCATGGCCCAGGGTTAAGAGCACAGACTGGAGAGGGACTCCCTGGGCTTGACTTCTGACGCTGCTGTGCACTGGCTGTGTGATTCTGAACAAGTAACCTAGCCTCTCTCCATTTCCTTGTCTGTTAGTAGGGATCAAACAGAACGTACCAAGTTTGTTAACAAGAGTAAGTTCATGTTTATAAAGTATTTATTATTTTATTTATTTTTTGCATGGAGTCTTGCTTTGTTCCCCAGGCTGGAGTGCAGCGGTGCGATCTCGGCTCACTGCAACCTCCACCTCCACCTCCCAGGTTCAAGCGATTCTCCTGCCCCAGCCTCTCGAATCGCTGGGATCACAGGTGCTCGTCGCCATGCCAGCTAATTTTTTTGTATTTTCAGTAGAGATGGGGTTTCAGCATGCTGGCCAGGCTGGTCTCGAACTCCTGACCTCGAGATCTGCCTGCCATGGCCTTCCAAAATGTTGGGATTACAGGTGTGAGCCACTGCGCCTGGCATATTAATTTTTTTAAAACAGAGTCTCACTCTGTCACCCAGGCTGGAGTGCGGTGGTGCCGTATCGGTTCACTGCAACCTCTGCCTCCTGGATTCACCCTCTGCTCAGCCTGCTGCGAAGCTGAGATTACAGGCACCTGCCACCACACTCAGCTAATTTTTTATATTTTTGATGGAGATGGGGTTCTACAACGTTGGCCAGGCTGATCTCGAACTCCTGACCTCAAGCTATCTGCATGCCTTGGCCTCCCAAAGTACTGGGATTACATGTGTGAGCCATTGTGTTCAGCCAGGATTATTTGTGTGTGGGGTTTGTGTGTGTGTGCGTGCTGATTTGAGTTCCTTATAGATTCTGGCTGTTAGTCCTTTATCAGATGCATAGTTTGCAAACACTTTTTCCCATTCTGTAAGTTGGCTGTTTACTTTCACGATTATTACTTCTGCTGTGCAGCAGTTTTCTAGTTAAACTTTCTAGTTGAACTATCTTCCTAGTTGATTTTTGTGTTGGTTTTAGTTCATTATATTCTTGGCATAGGTGGTAGTGACACCTTGGTTCACTTTCTTCTTCTTCTTTAAATTGTGTTTTCAGGAAAAATTTCTGCTTTGGAAATAACAGGAACGTGTAAAGGAAAGACAGCAAGCCCAATCTGCCCAGGTAACTTTATTTTTGTCTTCTCAAACATATCAGATCAAATAATGCCGTTTTCTAATCTCGAAACCAGCAAGATTAGAAGAAGAATGAGGCCATCCTTTCAAGCAGTCTTTCCCCGTTACACAAGGTGTTCAGGATCAAAGTCAAGCCCTGCCGTCAGAGGCAAGAGCGCCCTATTCACTTCTATTAGAACAAACTAGAATCAGGTCCACTGCATCGCTGCTAATTGTTTTGCACCAGGTAGCCACAAAGGAAGCTAAAACTAACCTTTTTAAGCAATCCTAAGTTTTCACTATCTAACAAGCACTTCGGATTTTTTTTTTTCCTTAAAACACCAAAAGTATAGGTGCTGTATATCTGCTACATCTAAAAGGCTCCCCAGAAATCAGAGCTTATCAAGCGGGAATGGCTGGGCAGTCACCCCCATCCTGCGCACAGGCAGCCAGGGGCTCTCGGCACGTGTCAGACACACACTACCTCAACAGCAGTCCCGAGGTCTGAGATTCTGAATGTCAGCAGGTGGCTGGCACGTATCACCAAAGCCACTCAGGAGCTGGCCGTGTGGACTGGCTGGGTTTCTTACTCAACATAAAACATTTCCTCTTTGGCCTGGACTGTTTTGCTAAAATTGGTAGTGGTTTTTAGGGCAGGCCAGTGTAAAGGAAACTTTTTTTTTTTTTTTTTTTGACACACAGTCTCGCTCTATTGCCCAGTCTGGAGTGCAGTGGTGCAATCTTAGCTCACTGCAACCTCCACCTCCTGGGTTCCAGCAGTTCTCCTGCCTCAACCTCCCGAGTAGCTAGATTACAGGCGTGAGCCACCACACCCGGCTAAGAAACCTTTACCAGGGACAATAAAGGCTTAGAAGAACATTTTGGGGAAACTCTGTGAGGAACATAATTACAGAGCGCCCGTGGCAGCCATGGCCTCCTGGACAGCAGGCACGCTGTGGGCTGCACAGGCTGCGAGGCACAGGCAGGCACAGCCCGTCTGGAAGAGCAGCCCGTCTTACATCTTTGGTTTCTTTCCAACCAGGAGCAAACAGTGGTAGAAAGAGCCAGGGCCTATTTACTCTTTACACCCAGATTTTTCTTTGAACTATTCATTATTACACCATTCAGCTTGCACAATGATCTCTGATAACGTGGTCCATAAAATCTGCCGCTGAAGCTGCCCTTTTGCCTGACCTGGGTGGGGCTGAACGAGGAAATGGGAAGTTTCCTGTATGCTTCAAAACAGAAATCGATGCCAGGGAATTCTGAAAATGGAAGCTGCCTGCAAAATGTGAAATCACTAAGGGAGTCTCTGCAAAACTCACCCGGCAGCATCAGGAACGGTGTCTACACGTGCTCCAGACGGCCACGGCCCCCTCCTTAGAGACCAGAGTTTCAGCCGCGTAGTCTATTTCAAACAAAACTCAGTTACACACATCTTATCATCTACGTAGGCGTGGATACACACTAAACAAGGACGTAGTACACAGTTGAGGGGTGCCCTGGGGATCGGGGCAGGAATGCCTTCAGGGAAGAGTCCTCTGGTCACCAGAGCCCTCATGCGATCCACCATGGCTTCGAGACAAAAAGACAAACATCGGAGACACAGTTCACACTACACTGGTTTAAAAGGACAAGATGTTCGATAAATACAGAGAACTCGGTGTGAAGAAAAGGCAAGAACAAATCTGGACCCCCGGCACAGACTTCAGGGCCTGCTCCGAAGTCATCCTTCCGGAGTCTGGGAACGGCCCCTCCTCCACGGGCGGCCCGTTTTTTCCTGATGGGCTGCCAAGCCCGGCTGTGTTAGGCGCTTCGCGTCAACATCAAGCATCAGCATGTGACATTGCAGCAGCACAAAACCTGCCAGTGCTTCACACGGGCCTGCTTCCAGAGCTCATGATCTGTGCTCCCAGAACGGGCGCCAGGGTCGCGCCCCCAGCTGGATTGTCTTGCAACGCCGCCGTGATGAGGCAGGCGTGGAGGCCCCCCCATGCCCTTCCTGGCGTGGGCGTGGTCTGCCGCCCGAGGGTCACCTGAAGCCAGACCACGTTGCATTGCAGTTGCACAGTATCGTGGAGATCACGCAGCGATGACCTAACCGTAAACTAAGAGGAAGGTGAAATGAAGGCAGAGAGAATCAACCACTTCCCAAAACTTGCCCACAAACCATTACGGAATAAGTCCCGCAAAGTGGATCAGAGTGACCCCCCCCGCTACCTCGGGCCCAGACGGTGTGACCTGCGTGGAAATCATATTATCACGTCCCTAAAATTATTGCAATAGAGCCACTGACGAGCCATTTTCTAAACTACACTGTTGACATTGTTAAGACCTAAGAAGCCAAGGCCCCCATCAGCAGCTGTGTCCGCTGAGGGGAAGTGACGTGAGCTGAACCCACAGGTGTGCAAAAAGAACTGAAAATGCCAAATATGTCACAAAATTGTTGACAAAAGGTGTTTTTTTTTTCTCTAAAATCAAGGTTTAACTATCAAAAATAAATTTCTAAATTTGAATGTATATCTCAACATAATTGGTCTGGAATAATTTTCTTAAATAGTTTTCACACTTTGCGAGTTCGAAAGCCGGCGGTGGCTGCTCAGCTGTGCGAGTCTGGCTTCACAGTCTCCTCAATTCCTCGCGCAAACAGTCGAACCAGCTGGCAGTGGACCCTGCAGAGACAAGCAGCCACGTGTAAACCCCACACGTCCCTCCCTGAAGGCTGGCCTTGAGCCCCACTCCCCGTGGAATGGTCAGATGTCACCGTGGGCTGTGGGAGTCCAGTCCGAAATGACAGGTCCTGGGTGTGGAGTCATTCACTTAGACTCCCAGGATGCCAAGTTTGTAAAGGGTCGCTGATGGCCAGGTGGGAAATACGGGCATCAGCACCCCTGATTCAGATGACAATGCTCCCATGGAAAGTAGAGTGCCCACTCTGGCATGTGCCCACTCCACCCACCCACCCCCCTCAATGTCCTCAGCAGTACTGAGTGTGCACGGCTTGTGGGGAGCCCGTGTGGGGCGACTCCATTTGTCAAACAGATGTGTGAGGAATGCTCAGATGAGAGGGACAGGTGGCCCAATGAGAGCAAGAGCCTTCAGGCTTGAGGAGCAGGTTGGGGGTCCCTGGAGGTCCCCTGCCCAGGGGCTCGGTGGCCAGAGTGAATCCCTAGGTCAGTGCCATCTTCCCACACGGGACAGCTCTGTTTATTTCATGTATTAATAATATCACAGCATCCTCAGACATATTTCAGTAACCTAAACCCCTGCATTAAGTGACAGGCCGGGGCTGGGCAAAGTGGCTTACGCCTGCAATGCCAGTATCTTGGGAGGCTGAGTCAGGACAATCACTTGAATCCAGGAGGCTGAGGTTGCAGTGAGCCGAGACCTCACCATTGCACTCTAGCCTGGGCAACAAGAGTGAAATTGTCTCAAAAAAATTAAAAAATAAAAATAAATAAATAAATGACAGGCTGTTTCCATGGAGCTGAACTCACACACACACACACACACACACACACACACACACACATTGTATTTTAAAAAGTGGTGTGCTTCTCAAGGCATAGCAATGTTTATCAAGATAGACAGGACCTATTTGATGCCTGCCCTAATTTTCAAATTATTCTATTTCTTTAATACATACACCAATATTAAAAATAATCCCACTTCCCAAACTTGTCACATGAGTTGACAGAGGAAAGTCCCTATGCACAGCTGCCCGGTGCAGTGGGTGTTCCTAGGACCTTCCGACGACCTGTCGAAATCCCTACCCTGACAGAAAGAAAGGCACGCGGACCCAGGCCTGGAGATGGGTGGAGACCTCCTTCTCCATTAGGTTTGTTTGGATGTGAATGGGAGAAGCTTTCTTAGAGCGGGAGCTGGCTGGCGGAGGAGTCACTGATCTGAGGAGTTGTCTGCAGAGAGGTGGCATCCTCTTACATGCTGTGACTTCAAGCACTCAAGGGCCATCTGTCAACCAGCTTTGGGTGCAGACAGGCATAGGCCTGACGACCAGCTTGCCACGGTTCTCCCATGAGCCACGCTCTGTGAACGAGTGTCCAGCTGGACTTCCTTGAAGTAGCCCAAGCTCTGACAGACACCTGCCAACAGTTCAGAACCTGCCTAGAGCTTTGCCAGCTCTGCAGCCTCATGTAATCTGCACGCCCACACCTAATTCAATGGCCTTTAAAAAAAAATCAACTTGCTTATTACTGTGTCTTTCCACAGAGAAACAATGTTCTTTGCGCTCAAATTCCTGCTAGTTACGTGATATATTACAAATTTCCAAATACAATGGGCCCTAGTGGATGCGGGAGGACACTGCTTCCACCTTCCACCCAGCTAGCCAGAGGAGGGGCATGGCGCCTGCCCCAGGGACACCGAACTTCTGTGTCTGGCCATAGCTGCCTCCATGGATTCCCCAGGTTGCATGGCCTTCAACACCAAGCTTCCCTCGGGCCTCCTCCCCTCCTTCCCATTCTCAGGGTGCCTTTCCCAGCTCCGCTGCCTCCTGCCCCTCCCTGCACAGAGCACCTGCACTTGGTGGCTGACTGTGGCCCTTGAGGCTCACGGTTCCCTGGTGGATTCAGTGAATCATGGACTGCCCATAAAGGCGGTTTCCTTTGTTTGTCTTTTGAGTTTTTTTGAGACAGTGTCTCGCTCTGTCACCCAGGTCTCAGCTCACTGCAATCTCCACCTCCCGGGTTCAAGTGATTCTCCTGCCACAGCCGCCTGAGTAGCTGGGACTACAGGTGCATGCCACCACACCAAGCTAATTTTTTTTTGAATTTTTAGTAGAGACGAGGTTTCACCATATTGGCCAGGCTGGTCTCAAACTCCTGATCTCAAGTGATCCGCCCGCCTTGGCCTCCTGCCTTTTGAATTATTTAGGAGGAGAGAGAGAGAATGCCAGGGCAAAGAGCCCAATGCCAGCCTGGAGCACAGAGTGTGGAAGAGAAAAAGAATGAGACGGAGGGGCTTCCAACACCCGTGAAAATGATCTGCAAAAAAAATGCAGGAGAATTTGGCACCCTGGCATCTTCCCAGAATGCGGGTAACGGCATCTCCTTCGATATTGACATAGGGAAAGAAAAGTGCATTTCTAAAACATTCTGTTATAAAGCCCCAGGGAATACCCCTGGGTGAGGCAGCTTGTGACAGACACCTCAGGGCTAGAGGGGCTGGCGCTGGCAGCCGGAGGTCCCTGCACGTACCTGACCTCGATGGCCGGGCTGTGCAGAACCTCCCCGTCGCAGTTCCAGGAGCTGCTGGAGACGGCGCAGCAGCAGGAGGGGTGGCTGCTGCAGATGTGCCCGAAGCGCTTCTTCCCCCCATCCTTGAGGTCGCTGTCCTCATCTTCCACATGCTTTGACGTAAACTGGAATTTCTTGACGCGATAGACTTCAACAAAAGTGAAGTCAAACTACCGAGAGACAGTGAAAAGGACAATTCAGCTCTAAAGGTCCTCCGGGTGGGGCAGCAGAACGGCCCAGGCCAACAGCGAGTTCTCTCAGGCCTTGGTGCACACACGGCCCTTCCCGGAGGATGCAGCTGCTTGTGTAGGGCCCTGGGGTTCCCTTTCTGGCTGACCTGACAGCTCAGAGATGAAGGGAAGCCTGGCACCCACCTTCCCCGGCGCCCACCTTCCCCGGATCCCACCTTCCCCGGATCCCACCTTCCCCGGCGCCCACCTTCCCCGGATCCCACCTTCCCTGGCGCCCACCTTCCCCGGATCCCACCTTCCCCGGCGTCCACCTTCCCCGGATCCCACCTTCCCCGGCGCCCACCTTCCCCGGATCCCACCTTCCCCGGATCCCACCTTCCCCGGCGCCCACCTTCCCCGGATCCCACCTTCCCCGGAGCCCACCTTCCCCGGATCCCACCTTCCCCGGCGCCCACCTTCCCCGGATCCCACCTTCCCCTGAGCCCACCTTCCCCGGATCCCACCTTCCCCGGATCCCACCTTCCCCTGAGCCCACCTTCCCCGGATCCCACCTTCCCCGGATCCCACCTTCCCCTGAGCCCACCTTCCCCGGATCCCACCTTCCCCGGATCCCACCTTCCCCGGAGCCCACCTTCCCCGGATCCCACCTTCCCCCGAGCCCACCTTCCCCCCAGCCCACCTTCCCCGGAGCCCACCTTCCCCGGAGCCCACCTTCCCCCCAGCCCACCTTCCCCGGATTCCACCTTCCCCGGATCCCACCTTCCCCCGAGCCCACCTTCCCCCCAGCCCACCTTCCCCGGATCCCACCTTCCCAGGAGCCCACCTTCCCCCCAGCCCACCTTCCCCGGAGCCCACCTTCCCAGGAGCCCACCTTCCCCCCAGCCCACCTTCCCCCGAGCCCACCTTTCCCGGCGCCCACCTTCCCCAGCACTTGTCAATATGACTTCTAATGCTTTAGAAACCTCAGCTTATCTATAATGATGAATGCTTTTTACAGGATTCTGATAGTTTTTTTTTTTTTTTTTTGAGACGGAGTTTCGCTCTTGTTACCCAGGCTGGAGTGCAATGGCGCGATCTCGGCTCACCGCAACCTCCGCCTCCTGGGCTCAGGCAATTCTCCTGCCTCAGCCTCCTGAGTAGCTGGGATTACAGGCATGTGCCACCACGCCCAGCTAGTTTTTTTGTATTTTTAGTAGAGACGGGGTTTCACCATGTTGACCAGGATGGTCTCGATCTTTCGACCTCGTGATCCACCCGCCTCGGCCTCCCAAAGTGCTGGGATTACAGGCGCGAGCCACCGCGCCCGGCCAGGATTCTGATAGTTGATTAGCAATGATTTGTGGAATTTTGTATTCTCTTTTTAACAAGCACTACTTAAAAAGCCACATAAAAATAGCATTAGACTAGATCTTAAATAGAACTTAAGTAAAAAAAGAAATGTGACTAAATTTGGAGAGTGCAACCCCAAGTGCCGTTTCTCGCAGCATGAGGAGACTCAGTTCTTCCTCTGCGCGGGCTACAGAAAGATGCGTCTGGAGGGCCGGAACAGAACCCATTTCTGGGAGCCGGAAGATTCTATCTGCAGTGGCTTCAAGAACCACTGAAGCATTTA